ATTTGAGACAATATCATCTTTACATTAATATTATTAGAACCAACATATTGAAATAAGCAGATTTCACTGTGAGAGAATTTATAAAATGGTAATACTCATTATCTTTATTATCAGTGAAATGAAAAAGTAGGTCGTTCAGGCCATATAAATGCAACTGAGTTGAGCTATTTTAGTTAACTGAAGAAATATACAGAACTAATGGCATTTGTGCTCTGAAATATTTAAAATTTTCAAAGCTTTAAGGTAACTTTTTAAAAGTTCTTGTTCTTCTGAGTCTTTTTAAGCACTCGTTTGAATCCAGAGAATTTTTTTTTAAGCTTACGTGGGGTTCTCTATGCGGACTTGTTCAAACTCCTTGTCCCAGATGGGCCGGCCATAGTGAGTCTTCTGTTTGAGCCCAGTGACTACATCCGTGTCCTTATCAAAGTGAACCATAACGTGAGTAGCCTGTGGAGGGAGGAGGGAGAGAAAAAAACCCACTGAGCTTGAGATGAAATGACATCAAACTGCTGCTGTGGACTTTGGTCTGAGGGTGGAGTAGGTTAATGACTGATTCACACACGTACGTGGCTCTGATCCCATCCAGTCAAGTAGAGTTTATAGGTGAGGAAATCCCCCATGCCTCTCTCCTCCATCTCTTTCTCCAGCACCTGTAGAAGGTCGGCAAACCACTCAAAGGCGTGCGTTTCCCGACAGAGCCAGTAGAAATAAATCTGAAACCAGGAAGCAAATGCATGTTAAACAATGACTCATCCTCTGGCATGGGTGTGCTGTTTAAAACACAAGCGTCTTTATTTGCAGGACAATTGAAGGCCCTGTGTTAGGTTTGAATAGAAGACGTGAGCTGGTTTGATCTCACACAAACATAAGGTCAAAAGCGTTTGATAACTAACACTAAGGTTATTGTTGTCCCAACCTTAAAGAAATAATCTTTATATGAATTGGTTTCATCTATTTCATAATAAGCAGGCTGATGGGGAGCAGTTGGGTTAAGTTACCTTCCTGGTGCGCAGTTTAGGATCAGAGTCTTTGAACTTGTACCAGATGGACTTGAGGATGGAGGCGAACGGAGTGACACCGATGCCAGCACCGATCAGCATGCTGACCTCGTAGTCGAACACGTCCTCGCTGGCTGTGCCAAAAGGTCCATCCACGCCCAACCTGAGGGCAAAAAGAAGTTTTTTTAACAAGAAAAATAAACTACAGGTTTTGAGATGTCTTCAAAGAGCTAGCTGTAGGTCGTCAAGAAACGAGTTGCTGGATGTGACTTTGGACGTCAGTATCAGTTTGTAAAGGTTTTGATTTTTTGCAGTTTCCTGTGGTGCACTCCAAGGCTCCCACTTAGGCTTGTTATAGTTTAAATATACATGTGTTGTTGCTTATTGCTATGCTATAATCTTCAGTTTTTGTTTGTTTGTTTGGAGGATGTAATATTCTGAATGGCAACACAATTTTTCCAGTTACATAACAGAATGACAACATTTTTTAGCAATAATCAAAAACAATTAAAGTACTTGTAGTACTCGTCTGTGAAGGTTCTCAGTCATCCAGGTCATCGTAGTCAAAGGAGCTTGCAAAGAAAAGCGTCTGGACTTCTTTAAGTTACTTGAAGACG